ATAAATAAGTTATATTTCATAAAGAATTTTTTAGTATTGAGCTATAATTTCCAAATCGCTTTCTTCACTTGATCGTCGTCTTCTACAATATTATTATCGCAATTATCAGAACTATTGAAGTAATCATTATAGAAGTTGTGCATCATCAGGCGATATGTGAATTTTCCCCCAATGGCTTTTCGGCTTCTAAATTAATGGAATAATATGAATTCCATCGAACCTAAATTGAAATAATATAAACTTATCAAACCTTTCTGAAGAATGAGGTCATCATATTTTCTAAGATGCTTCTGTATTGTGTTTAGAATTGTCTAAACTTTTTGTCTTTTTTTCAAACTCTTGATGGCAATTACACCAATAAGTGAATAATATAATGCTTTTTATGATAAAAATATCCATCACTTTTCTATAATGCCTCACAATCTCAATCGCAATCGCTATTAAGTTTGCATGTGATTCAATATTATCTAATTTTATCAATTCGATTTGAAAGCTTTATAATTGCATTAAGATCTATTCGTGCACTCTCTTCTTCCATATTATTCATAAGTTAATTATAAACTACATCTTCGATATCTTCAGGTTCTATAGCACTTTCTTGCAATTCATAAATATTATTCATATTCTGCTCTTAACGTTTCCGGTTTTGCCTTTGTTAACGTGGTGGTTATGCTTTTATTGTACGTACATAGTTTAAATAAACTTGTACATACATTATCGGCCTTTAAATAATGCAGAAATTATTAAAAATACTATAATTAATTTTGATTTTTCGCTTTTTATATATAATACCCAAATTAATTTAAGTTTGCAACGCTAAAGTGTGACCCGAATTATCTAAAAAAAAAAAAAAATCCAACCGCGGGCGGATAATAATTGTGGCATGTTTAGAATATTAAAGCCAATTGGGCATGCCATTGTTAGTAAAATTATATAAAATTACATTATAGCAATAGCATGCTACGTATAATATGGCATGGTATGAATTTCAGCTAATAGCACGCCATACGTCATGTTGATGTCAATTTTTTGACCTTGCCAATAACCACAAAATACAGAAATAGATATTAATACGTATACCAAGATTTCATGTCTATTAATATACGTAACATATATTAACAGTTAAACGTACCCATTGTAAAATGTAGAATTACGTAATTAAACAATGCACTAACATCGGTAATTTACATATAACAGTATAAGGGGAAATTACCCGAAACTTAAAGCAATTACATGTGACAGTACGCGATAGTTTCCTGGAATTACTTAACCTTCGTGATGCTAAAATCCTTGTACGTACGTACATAAACAATTAAATAGCACAAATTAATACACATTCGTATACAACAAGCATTCAAGGAGGATATCTACGTACAATATTTGACACGAAGAGTACATTGAACATATATTCATTTAATGATCATGAATTAAAAAACAAATTTCCTAAAAAGTCGATCAATTAGTTATTTCATAATTAATATTTAGGTATTAATAAAAACAAATATGCATTAATGTCACCATTTACAGTAACAGCAAAACGATAAATTTTGTTAACATTAATCGTTTCGTTATATACTTGTTTCATTTCTAAGTGTCAAATTTGATTATATTAGATCAGATCAATAATAACGCGAAACAAATTTTATCCCAAATGAAATCATTAGTTATGGGCCCAAACATAATTATTTGGTCTTTTGACCTTACCGGAGATGAGGATATAAACATTTTAATTGATTACATTATTTTGTTGCAAGTAAATGAGAATTATTTGTATTACTAGTGTATTACTGAAGGAAGTCACAAGGCGTCTAAGGTAACGTTCAATTCATTTATTACAGCATTAAATATCCACATGATCAAAATTCATTCATTATAAAATAACCGAATCAGAATAAACTTTATTCTATATATAATTATATCTAAATATCGGAAATAAAATAATAATGTAATTGGATGCTAATGATTCGTGGGAAAGAAATTGGCCCTGCATTTTTAAATTTGGTCTGTTCTATACTCCTACCATACTGATCTGGTCAGTCGTACCACATTGATCTTCGTAACTCCTTTTTGTTTATGTTTACAATGTAAATGTCAAATAAGTTGGCATGACGTACGTAAGTATGAATTTTTTGTTACTAAGCTTTTTCGAAATATAAAAATAACGTCTTTTCCTCTGCTTCAAAATCGGATTTTTTTTCCTTGAACCTTTGAACATTTTAATTCAATAATAGTTCTTAACAGGTAATTATTTATATATCTATTTTTTCGGATTAAATTGCAAATAGATTTTCCAAAGCCTTGCTTCCGTGGTTCGTGGAGTAGAAAAAAATAAAATAAAAATAAGAAATAATTGAACATTTAATTATTTTGAAAGACCCGAAAAAGAGGGGTTAAAAAGGTTGGGAAGTGAGGTTAAGAAATTTCAAAGCTGCGGTAAGACAACATGATATAGAGAGATTAATAAATAATGATATTCATTCTTTTAACAATCATTACTCGTATCAATGCTATTATATCATACTTTTTACTCACATAATTAACTATATGACCAGGTTTTCGTTTTGACAAATTTTCCAAATTATAAAAGAAAAGTAGCTGACGAAAATATGACTAGTAAATAATAGTTTATTTTAGAGATTGTACCTAATTCTGATAACACGGGTAATTAATAATGCCCGGGTACAATCTCTAATAAAGTTTATTTCATGTTTTTTTTTTTTTGTTCTCATACCACATATACAGTATCTAACCTTATTTTAATAATAGCCACTGCTGTCATGAGCCCAAGTCCATACACTACAACCTTAAAAAGGCCCACCATAGTCAATGAAGTAGTTAAACCAATATTCAAGCCAATTTTGAATTCAGAAAACGGAAACAAATTTATGAACCATCCGCATCTCAAAATTCTTCAAGTTCATTCGGTCTCATTAACAAATTCTGATGCGATTACTTGTCCGCAATGTTTTACACCACAATCCGTTTTTTACGTAATTGATGATGCAAAACAAGAACAATCAAAGGAGTTTTATGTTTGTATGTCACATAATGACAGTGGATGTGGGTGGCAAGGTGATGAACAACCAAATGAAGATGATACCAAGAAACTCATAAAAGATAAAATTGGATATATACCATTGCGATTAAATTAGATTATGTTAAATATTGCTTATTTAATAATATATATATATATATATATATAAGATTTGTTATTTATTTACTAGACTTAATATTATATATCTCTCTCTATATTTAATTTATATAGAGAATTGCTATTCGCACCATAGTTACACGATCATCTCAATTTTATCACTATTATTTATAACTTTGATCAAAGATATCTCAACAACTATTTGAATTTCACAGATCTTAAAATTCAAATAAAAAAAAATTTTATCAATTTTGGTCAAGTGATTACTATTTTCAATCGAAGTTTTAAAAAACTTTTAAAAAATTATTTAATAACTGCCAATATTTGTACGTACGTATTAGAACTTTAATTAAGATATCTTACTGCGCTTTTCAAATTACTGTGTTCATCAAATGATCGACCATCACACGAAAATCTTCAAAATTTCCCAAATTT